CCTTAACGAATTAAGGATTTAGTCTTCGCCACCAACATTGTACATTGTACACATTTATGAGATGCTGTCAGCACCTTCTGATCGAACTCCAACTTCTTCATTACGGAGAGGGATACTCAAATCAGTTTCAAACGTAACAAATAATAAACCTCCGTCGACTGTACCTTCGGTTACCTTCAATGAGCCAAAGCTAAAAGAACGAGATCATAGTTCGGGCTTAATTAAAGTTTGTGTTGCATAAAAAATCTCGGTTGGAATCTAACGTTCAATAAATTAAGTTGTAGTTACTAACATTGACGGCAAATTTATAAGGCATATTTACGAATTAGACCTATAAATTCTGGAGATGTAACAAAGCCATACATTCAAATCGTAAACGATACAGAGGTTGTAATGATTCCTCCAAAGGTTAGGATTTGGATGATTTAAAACAATCAATACATATGTATATATGAACATAGAAAGTTTACGAATCAATCTTAAAATAACTAGGATTCTCATGCCTTTAAAACATGCAACAAGGGACCTGAAAAATACATGTTTACAAAAGTTTTTGATGAAAGGGCGTCGCAAAAACGTTTTTTTTTGGAAACGACGCTCCCGCTGGTAAAAGGTGTATTGAATGGAACCAATGGATTAGTGTTCGCTTATGGTGTAACAAATAGCGGAAAAACATATTCAATTCAAGGTACTCGAAACGAAGAAGGTATATTACCTCGAACATTAGATACAATTTTTAATAGTATCAAAAACTTAGAAAGTGAGGCGAAGGTAATTATACTCCCTTATTTCTCTATCATTTATTGGTCTTATTTTATTGTTTTCTTCATTTCTTTATATTCAGCTCAAACCGGTTAGATATAATGAAGTAGAAAGTTACAATGGAAGCGAAACTAGTGTCCCTCCAATTATTATATCAAAGTCGCATATGGAGAATCCATTTATTTTATCGGATTCAGTTAGTATTTACAAAAAGAAATTGTTTCGTAAACGCATCCTAAATACCAATTGTTAAATAATAGGACTCATCACAAAACAAGAATAAAGGTGCTGACAGCATCTCATAAATGTGTACAATGTACAATGTTGGTGGCGAAGACTAAATCCTTAATTCGTTAAGG